TTAGTCCTCTTTTTATATGGCTAGAGAAATAAAAGGAGGGGATGCCTTATAGATAACAGTAAATTTTACGATTTCATTTCCAACTTGCACCTACTTTTAAAATAAGACACAAAGGCTCTTTCTCTGGACATGCTCTGACCCAACGCTTCAATTTCTGTGACTCAAACTTCCAGATTTTTCAGATTGATCATCCTTTCACATGATTTGCTTCTCCCCAAGAAGTTGTCTAATGCTAATTCCAGCTCTTTCCCCTAAACCCAACACATGGCTTATCCAGGATACTTATCCACACCGGGGTCCCATTCCCAGCACCGATACAAAGAGTGGAGAATCAATATCAGTCTGGAGAGGCAGATCTAGAATTGATTGGATGGAGAAAGGTTTATTTGAAAGGTATTTGAAATTCCGAGAGTGAAAGAAATAGCTGAAAGAGATTAGACAGAGAAGAGAAAGGGTCTTATTTGCAATGTCAGCCATGAAGGCTGGGAAGAAGGAGAGTTTGCAGAAGAGAATGAGAAGGAGTCAAAGGCAGGAAGAAAAAAAATGAAGCAGCAAGTCATATCAATGTTTTAATCATGTTCACTAATAATCAAGTCAAAATGCACATTCTCGTCATGTATCTTGGGTGAGGGGTGTTTCCTTTTCTCTTTCTCTTTTTTCCTTTTCTCTTTCTCTTTTTTTCCCCTTTTTGAGCTACATCCTCAAGTGTGGATACCCCAGGATCTGCAAGCAGATAAAAGGGGAAGATTACTTAAGACCGTTTCTTTAGGTAAGACATGAACACAGAAACACAAGAGTTGAAATATTTTCTATTTGAAAAAAATCTTTTTTTTTTATTAATTGATGTGGAATTTCCTCCTAGAAACTATTTTCTATTTCCCACAGTACCATTTCAATGAATTACAATGCTTTCTAATTCCATCAAAAGCAAGTACACTGTTACTCTTAATACGCTGAATCTTTTAAACCATCTTCTTGGTTACAAATTAGTGGAATGTTAGATGCAGTTGGAGATAACTTTATTGTATATTTAATTTTATTGTTGGGGTGTGTGTGAGAGAGAATATCTCCCTTTCTGTATTACTTCTCCAATCCTTGCATATTTGGAAGGGGAGTTTATTTATTTTTTATTTTATTTTTAAGCCACAACTGACAATGCTCAGGGCTTACTTCTAGCTCTGCACTCAGGAATCACACTTGACCATGCTCAAGAGGACCATATGAGGTGTCAGGGATCAAGCCCGGGTCAGCCATGTGCAAGGCAAGAACCCTGTCCACTGGAATATCACTCTGGCTCTGAATAAAAGTTTAAAAATGTAAGTGGGGTAGAATCTAAGATGGCAGAAAATTTCCATAATCTCCAAGATCACAGGTAACCTGAATGGCCTGTGATCTGAATGGCCTCTGGGGGGCTAGGGGGGAGTTGGTTTTTTTTTTTTTAAAACAAAACCCAAGCAAAACAAAGATTTTTAGCTATATATTATCTTTAGAGGTTTCCTATCAAGATGGCCTGAGAAACATTTGCATGCAACATTTAATTCATGTTTAACGATAAAGCATCGAAACTGTTTTTCAATAAATATAAAGCACCAGTACAAAAAGAACACTGTTCTCTTTTCCTTTTTTTTTTTTTTATCTTTAAGAGCAGTAAACTTCCTCCTGTGATGGCACAACTCCAACATTTTAAAATTATTGGTTAGCTTTTTTAAAGCTTCTCTTATTATGCTGGGTAACTGGCTGACACGTACCTTTCCAATTTCTGCTATTCTTGGGATCCGAAGGCCTGGCATGATGCTAATTGAAAGAAAGCACCGCATAAGCTAAAACATTTCTACCCTCATCCATTGTTCTTGGCGTCTGGTTGTATGAATTTGCTGCTTTGCCCCTCAAAATCTTCCTTCTGCCCAACATCATCCTTTGCCCCTTGGCAAGTAAGCATCCTGCAGAAGCAACTCTACAGCACCTCTGGGTGGCACTGGCGCACCTTTCCTGGGAAAAAGCTCTCCTCTCACCCATTACTTGGCAGTCAGCACCGGCAAGGGCTTTAGGGAAATAAGGCAGGATGTGGAGAAAGCCAAATGATCCTTGCCTTTAATCTATTGTAATCTGGCTCCACAACTGGACTCTTTCTAGGACTTTCTGACTCAGAGCTTGGGAAGAATCAGGGGAAAACCCTTGCCAAATTGAGCAGAACAGCTGCTTCCTGCCTAACTGTTTTCTGATGGAAGAGCTCATTTATTTTTCAGAATGTGTTTGGATATAAGAAGGCATAGAAATAAACCATTGTGACAACAGTTTTTTTTTATTATTATTGTATGGGGGAAAAAATATCCTAACAACAGGGTATCTGGATTTCTTTCATTTGTGTTAAAGGTTGTTCACACCAGAAAAAGCAGTGCTTTTCCCTTTCCAAACTTAGCCAACTTGTCAGTAACAGTCCAGGAGAAAGTTATATAATAAAAATAATAAACAAAGCATTTAACATACACTGGCACTAAGTGCTTTAGTATTGTTAGTCTTTCACTTTCACAACTCTAGGAGGTAGATTCTATTATTTCTAATTTACTCATAAGAAAAATGGTTTGGGGGCCACACCCAGCAGTACTCAAGAGTTATTCCTAGCTCTGCACCCAGGAATCACTCTTAGAAGTGCTAGGGGCAACCATATGGGATGTCAGGGATCGTACCTGGGTTGACTACATGACAGGCAGGCACCCTACCCACTGTACTATCACTCTGGCCCCTCACACGAAGAAACTGAGTCACAGCAAGGTTAATCCTGTGTCCTAGTTCTAAAGTTGGTGGGTGGCACAACCAGAGTAAATGATTCCTGAATTGTGCCAAAAGTCACTCTGCCACATAATACTCACTGAAAAACATGGAGAAAAATGCTTGCCTTTTCACAGTTTTCTCATCTCTTGGTATATCAAACCACAATTTTTAACTAATTCTCCCGTGTACGCAGAATTAAAGATTACACCAACTGAGATTTTGTTTACTTTTAGAAATAGTTCCAAGCACAGAAAATGCTTCCTGGGTTAAAACTAGTCGAATTCCTGACCCTTTGTGATCCATATTTATAATGTCTCTTCTGTATAAAAGCTATAGCAGTGGACTTGTTTGAAGACTTTTTTTTTTTTTTTTCAGAAAAAAGGCATTAGTTCAAAAGTGAGAAATCCCTAGAGTTAGCTGAGAAAGGCATGGGGAGAAATCTGAGAAGAGGGTGATGGGCCTTGGTTTCCACAATTCTCATATTTAACCATGAAATTAAAATTAGGTGCACAGCTAGATTTTCATGGTCATAAACAGGTTAGTCAGGGAATTCCAAGGAGTGCACATACTTGTCTTTGTATTCCTTTAAAAATTTCACTGTCTGAAGGACCTGAGAGTTATGACCGCTGAGTAAACTTAACCTGTTATTAAATAAAAAATATAAAAGGGTAAAAAAAAATGACTCCGAAGAAAGACAGGAAACATGGTGAATATAGGTAAGGGCATCACAAAGTTCACAGATGAAAACAAATCTCTAAAATCTGGTGATTTTACTGAACTATTGTAACTTAAAATCAAAAGCAAGACACTCCCAACTACTCTCTGAATTTTCATTTTCTTCCTCAATGCAGAGTTTGACCCAGATGCTGCAGTCTCAAGCAACAAGTAGAAAGCTTTAAAACAACAGTTGAAAAGGTCGACTAAGATACAGTCAAGACACAAAGAGAGGTCCGGAGGGATAGTGGGGAAGGTGTTCCCCTTCGCACAGCTGACCCAGGTTGGATTTCCAGGTACCATATATGACCCTCTGAGCATCATCTAGAGTGATCCCTGAGCACAGAACCAGGAGTAATCCCTGAGCACCACTGACTATTGGCCCCAAAACAAAACAAAAGGGCACAAAGAAATAAATGAAGATGTTTATGATGCATTTATTAAACAAACTTGGAAAATAGGACTAATTGAAATGGTTCCATTTCAGTGCATTAAAAGATGATCTGCTGTACAACAAAATATTGCAAGAATGTTATTTTATTATGCAATTCTGTTTGAATTTTCAGCTTCCTTTGACATCTGTCTTTGTCACCACAACCAATAAATAGTTGTTCAAAAAAAAATTTCAATTTGAGCTGCATTATGGAGAGGCAGATTGGACTGAAAAACTCAAAACACCAGTAAAAGTATTTCCCTTGACTCTTCTATACCATATTTACAGAAGTTAAACCAGTTGGTCATTATGTATATGTTAGTAAAAATTAGTATTTTATATTTATATAGGTATCTATAATTATCAAGTAGAAGATGAATTTTAAATTATTTTAATAACAATTCATGGAATGTGACTGAAACTTCCATTTGAGTGCTTGTTCAATACTCAGTGCTTTAAAATATCAGGGAGGGGAAAGCCAAAATAAATTTTGACGGGAGATATGAAAATTGAAAGAAATAAGGAAAAGTGCTGGCTGTGATTCGAGTAAGTCAGGGAGGTGAGCGGACAGGTGCAACCCAAATGAGATGAAGACTCAGAGACCAAAAAACGGCTCTTGCCCAAGGTCAGTTTCATTCGACCTTACACAGAACTAAGGCACGTCGGTGATAAGAGGAAATGAGGCTTTCACTGTGAGTTCATTTCATTCGCTCACGCAGAAATGACTGGCTCCTAGTAGAATTTTCTTTAGGAAATCTGCTTTGACCCTTTTGACCTGACGGCTAGCAACCAAGGCCGCTATTTAATTTGGCATTGGCGGATGGTGGGCCACGTGCGACACCAGAATTCCTCCAAAATTTCAGTGGCTCTCAGTTGGAAGAAACTTTTAGGATGAGGAGGGTTAGAATTCTTGGACCTCAGCGAGGAGGGCTGCGATTCTCGACCACAACGCTTCTTGGAGGCCGAGTTCCATCAGGGCTTAAGACACATTCATGGTACCCCGTACAGAAACAGCACCCCCCCATCCCTACCTCCCATCTTTCCTAACATGCCCCTATCTATCCCTTTCCTGTTTGGGGGATGCGCGGGTAGACCCCCGACGCCTCCAGCTAGTTGACACAGGGGCAGCAGAAGCAACAGATGGTCCGGCAAGGGTTCTTCTTCTTGTACTGCACGGCCTTGCGCACGTGCGCCTTGGCCTGGCCCGTGTAGTCCAGGGTCTTCTCCACGTTGAGCTCGATGACGTTGAGGGTGTCGGCCTGCTCCTCCACGAGCACGGCCATCTGCAGGAAGAGCTCGTGCACGTCGCGGATGCGACTCTCCAGGCGCACGAGCTCCCGGTGGCGGCTCTCGAGCTCGCTGAGCGCCGCGCGTGCGCCCTTGACGTCGGCCAGCAGGTTCTCGGAGAACACGTCCCACTTGCCCTGCTCGAACATGTCCTCGATCTGCTCCCCGGACACGTCCCGGCCCATGATCTCCAGCTGGCGCTGGATGCGGAGCTTGCAATTGTGGCGCTGCTTCATCTCGGCCTGGTTGTACTCGTGCATAGCGCGCTGGAAGGCGCGGGTGAGCGCGCTGTACTGCGCGCTGGCGATGCGCGCCACCGCCGAGTGCGCGCCGTGCTGGGCCTCGGCCGTCTCGCTCAGCGCCTTCATGGCCCGCAGCTTGCGGTGGATGCCCTCGCCGCGGGCCTTGATGTCCTTGGCGATGGAGTTGGTGTCCCGCTTGATGCTGCTCAGGCGCCGCATGGACGTGAGGAAGCGGACGTTCTGCTTGCCCAGGCGCTTCACGTCGGCCAGCAGCTGCTGGTTTTCCACCTGCAGTTCCTGGATGTCGCGGTACAGGGACTCCAGGAGGTGGTCGGTCTCGAACACGATGTCCTCGTGGGCCGAGTCGAAAGCATCGTCCTCGTCTGGATACTGCAGGTCATAGTGCCGGCTCAGCTCCAGGAGCTCGGGCAGCCGGTCCTTCATTTTGCCTGCCGGGACAGAGGGGGACTCGAGTTAATGAAATTCCTCCGGGGAGGGTCAGGCTTAACCTCAAGGCTTCAAACTTTTGCCTACAATACAGACCCCCCACCCCCACCCCCACCCCGCTGCAATTCTTTATTCCTGCAGGGAAGGAATCCTTAGCGAATGCGCCTCAAGTTTAGGGCATGCTGGGCTAAGGTGAATGACAGTCACGGCTGCAGCCGTATTTTTATAGCCTGCCGGATTCTGCAGTTCAATTTTTCAGACGTCAAAACGCAACCAGCAATTTTATGTTTTTTGAGCGCATTAGGAACCAGTCTCCTTTTTTTCCCCCCTGCCTTTGTGTTTTCCAGTAACCACAAATCAAAAGACACGGTGGTTGTGGTGGTGGTGGTGGTGGTGGTGATGTGTGTGTGGGGGGGGGGGGGGGGGAGGAGAGGGGCGGGAGGAGGAATGTAAAGAAAGAAAAGACAATGATAAAGATCGTAAAAATAAGGAAATTTACAAATTTACAAGGCTCCGGCGCTAACTGTGCATTAGCTGTTTTGTGTCTGTTACAGCACCGGGAGCTTCCTCACCTAGTACAGCATAACGGGTCTTCAAATCGCTTCCAGATACATCATGGTTTAAAAGCTTTTTCTTAAAATATTATAAAAAAGCAAACTGTGCTTGAAGCACAACAACAAGATAAAGGCCAAAATCTAAGTTAAAGAAGTATGAAATTTGAAAGTGGAAATTTCCTAGCCTGTCTGATTCATCTCACTAATGCAGAATTTGATCCTTTAATTTGAATTGAATTCTCAGGGCTTAAAACTTTTTTTTCTTTTCTTTTTGAGTGTGTGTGTGTGTGTGGGGACAATATATAATATTTTTATGTGAGAGATATTAAAAGTGACAGTTATATGGAAATTAAGTATGCAATAAGTTGCATATTTAATGTGCTTTGAATAAATAAGGGAAACAAGCATAAAAAGATCATGCATCTAGGTAGGAATTGTAGGCAGATGGAAAATTGGAATTAAAGATTTATAGTTTTTCTCAAGGTCTGGAACGTTAGTAAAGCTGCTTTAAAAAAATAATTTAACATGGAAAATTTCAACCCTACACAAGGCTAGTATAGACACACAAAAAATATAACACTCTCCTATTTATCCCTCACACAGCAGCACTATTTGCCTATTTTTAATGGCTTTTTGAAACACACTGGCAGCTCCAACAGAAATTCCATGTTTTTATAAGGGTGGTTCTGATCCTGTCTCTCCTCAGCAAGGCAAATTAATGTTCTCTCTGTCATATTTTTTTCCAATGAAATGAAAAACTTTCATTTTTATTGGCATGTATATATGTGAAACTAATGTACATTTTGCTCTTTATACACAAGCTGTTGAGCTAGAAAGGTTTTCTTTCTGCTATATAATTTTCAGAAAAGCAGAGGAAAACAGAGGCACTTAATGGCTACTCCATCTATCAGGGATCTTAATCTCAAATTAAAAGCTTTTCTCATGTTGAAGTAATTAATTTTATAGCAACCACTAATGGAATACTGACAAGCTGAATTTAGTGATAAATGGAAAACAGTGAAATATTAACTATGGCCTTTCATCTCCCTGATCATTATTTGCATAAATTAAGCAAAAGTTTTCTTCCATTATGGAGATTTTTAATACAAGTTATCCTGCTTAAAATGCCATTTCTGCTATCTGGTAACAAAAATCAATACTAGGTTTTGTACACATCGAGGAAGGTGATTTTCCTAAACGCAGGATCAAGAGGTAGGAAAAAAGTACCTTGTCTGTACAAAAACTAAGCCTTCCCTGGCCTGAATTCCCTACTATCCCATCATATCTTCACTTTCATTCAAAATTTAAAAACAAAACTTAGAGGAAAACAACAATGTAGGGCAGGTAAGGGATTAGCATGCTTAAAATAGTAAGATCGGATGTCCCCCCAGCCTCTGCCCCACCAAATTTGCTGAAGCAGAGACAATGACAAGGTAAGTCACGTGAGATTTACAGAGGCCAGAGAGGGAACAGAGGGTAGGGGGCTTGCATTGCATTGGCACAGCAGACCTAGATTTGACCTGGATCACCACATATATTCATCAAGTCCTGTCAGGAATTAAGCACAGAACCAGCAGTAAGCCCTGGTCACTGGCAGGTCTGGCCCAAGCTATCCCCTCCAAAAGTTTTATAAATGCTAGTGAAGGAGTTTGAAGGGGACCCTAAGATGGTGGTGGAGAAAATCAGCCAACACAGGTGGAAGATATGATGTTGGAACGTTGTATGCATGAAGCCCTATTATTAGCGGTACATAAATCACAGTGACTAAGGTACAATTTTGTGAAGAATATTTATAAATCCTAGAATCTGGGTACATTGTTGGTGTGAATGAAAATTGGGCACAACCACTATGGAGAGCCCTAAAGGAAAAGAAAAGAAAGAAAACCAAACAAACAAAAGAAAAAAAATCCTCTAGAAATTCCAGATAATCCAACAGTATGAGAACTAGATATTTATCCAACGCATATGGGGAAAAACTAATTTGAACAGATATTCAATCTCTTTGTTCAAACTGAATTATTCACAATAGCAAAACCATGAAATCAACCTGAATGCTAATCAATAGATAAGGAATCTGAGGTGTATATACTAAATGGAATATGACTGCCAGGAAAGATGAAATTGTTGCTTTTGGGACAAAATAATAAAACCTGAAGTGTTCTATGTGAAATAAAAAAAGGAAGTGAAAGGTAATTGCTGGATAGTTCTCTGATACATAGAATATGAAAGAGTAACGCAAGCAAACTGAAAGCTAGATCAGAAGAAAACTAAAGCTAACAGACAGAAAGCAGGGGGGTGAAAGAAAGGATGAGGAGAGGGGTCTTTTGGTTTTTATTTGGGGGCCATGCCCAGCTGTGCTCAGGGCTTACTCCTGGCTCTGTGCTCAGGGATCACTCTTGGCAGGGCTTAGTGGATCAGGTGGGGTGCAGGGGATCAAATCGGCTGGGGATCTGCATTCAAGGCAAGTGCCCTAGCCACTGTTCTATCTCTGGTATAGTACAATGGCACTGGAATTCTGGTGGTGCTATGAAACCCATACACATAAACAGGCACCAAATTATATCTCTGAAATTCTACAATACTGGTAATTTACCATGACAATTTATGTAAATCATTTGTAGTAGTTAATTTTTTTCTATTTTGTTTGTTTTTTTGGATCACACCAGGTGGTGCTAGAACTGATTCCTGGCTCAGTGCTCTGGGATCACTCCTGGTAGGCTCATGGGACCATATGGGATGGTGAGGATGGAACCCAGGTCAGCCACATGCAAGGTAAGCACCCTTCCTGCTGTATTTATATCAAAGTATAAGTACTGGAAGAACTCAAAATAACTTGCATTATGATATGCTAAAGAAGACACTGTAGTAAATGTGTAATAAAAATCAAATAAATCTATTGGCCTTTTTGACATATTGTGATTTAAAATGTAATAAAAACTTCAATAAATATATTTTCCTTAGTAAATTATATTCATAAAGTGGTCTAAATTCTGACTTGATTCATAGGAACATAAAGCATTTAAAAAATTGTACATAAAGGCTGGAGTGATAGTACAGCAGTTAGGGTGATTTGCATGCAGTTGACCCAGGTTCAATCCCCAGTACCCTATATAGTCCCCTCAACCCCATCAGGAGTGATGCCTGAGCACAGAGGCAGGAGTTAGACCTGAGTACCACTGGGTGTGGACAAAAACCCAAAAATGTTGTACAACCAACTACCAGAAATTTCTGCTTTTTAGTTTTCTCTTTAGGTATATAAACCATCTCCACTGAGAACTCACACAGAAGGAAGAGGAATTTATATAACGCTTCTTTTGTTGGGCAATAATATTTTACACAAAAGACAAAAGCAAAGAGATACTGGGCAGTTCAGTGGCTCCCCAACTTGAGAATCTTCTGGAGAGCTGCAAACATTATGGATGCTTGGTATTCTGATTCAGGAGGTCTGGGATGATCGTCAGGTTGTTCTAGTACACACATATTGTTGCTCATTCCATGTAGTAGATTTTTACTCATAAATATCCTGCAATTCTGGACAACTGATAGTATTCCTCAGGATGGACCCAACTTTGATAAGTCATGTTTGATAGAAGAAAATTATAGCTACCAGCATGGAGCACTACTGGTCTCTAAGACTACCACCTCTGGACAGGTTGGCATGGAGCCTGGATAAGAAATCAAGATCCGGGGATGAACCGATAGCACGGTGGGTAAGCCGTGTTTGCCTTGCATGTGGCCAACCCGGGTTCGATTCCCAGCATCCCATATGGTTCCCTGAGCACCACCAGGAGTAATTACTGGATTCAGAGTCAGGAATAACCCCTGAGCATTGCTGGGTGTGACCCCAAAAAGCCAAAAAAAAATAATCAAGATCCGCAGAGACCTCATTCTCAGTCTAATGAGGCATAAAAATAATGAAATCTAGAAGGCAGGGTAACTAAGAATTTTAGACAGAATTTAGTCCAGCTGCTTCGATTTAGGGTGGATATGAGAAATTGTTGCAGGCTTTTACCAAAGGGAAATATGAGGAAAATGGATTAGATTAATTATTCTGAGACATCTTCTGGTACCTGAATTAATTTGAAAAATTAAGGCTGGAGATACTCTAGTAATTAGATATGCTGTAACAGAACTGGATCCTGCTGTCAAGAACCTCATATATTTGGCACCTGAAAACTTGACATTTTCTGTCAGATCAGAAAAGAAAGATTCAGGAAACAAGTCTGAACCTACTGCATAAGATGAATGAGAGAAATAATCCATTCAGTGAGTACTACAAAGAGCCTCCGTTAGAGGCGCTGTTCACTCCTTGATCCTAAGGGAACTAGTTATCAACACAATGCAGTCATATCTCTGATCACTAAAGAGACTTTGTACCTATTTGCTCGAAGGGAAACATGAAAAAAAAAGGTTCATAATTGTTAACTCAGTATCTCAGAACATAATTA